TCTCTGTAAAAATCCTAAAAGTAGATAGAAAAACAACATATATATTTATGACATATATCCTCATTATGATTATTTCTTTACTAACAGCACTTGTTTATTACCTCCACCATGTTTTCATCTGTGTTGGTTTGTCTGTTTGTTGGTCTGTTTTCAAAATAACTAAAAAAAATTTATGGATCAATTTTGCTGAAACATTTCAGAGAAGGTTATGATGAAGAATGATGAACATTTTGGTGATGATCACCATCTGGCTCCAGGATTTTTTTTAAAGATTCTGTGAATACAGATATTGACTTGAGGTGGAAATCACAAAACTTAGGGGGAAATTTGCTAATGGAGGTCTGGGCTCTCCGAGTGCTTTTCTACTTTGCCAAAGTGTTAAGTAACTAAATACCATCACCTTAAGCATTTAAGGCTTTTATTCATTTGGACCACCTGCCAGTAAATGAGCTTTTGGTAACTTGAAGCTAAACAATATTGCACAAATTTTTTTAAATACAAATAGAAAATAAAAAAATTAACAGAAAAACATACGAACCTACAAGATAATAAAACACAATGATACCAACTGGGGATCAAAAAGTTCATTATTGTTTTTTTAAGAAGGGAGAGGAGTTTTAATTTGGGATACTTTACTTACTTATAATGACCGGTTATAAACCTTGATTCACTGACTTAAAAGGTATTGAACATCTGTTAAATCTATTTAAGCATTTTTCTTTACTTTAATTCTATGTTTCATGTTTTAAAATGAACTTGTTGAAATTGTGTAGATGCAATGTAGACAAAAAAAAAACCAAACAATTGCAATTGTTGGATCTGCAGTTGCATATCGTGTTTTAATTGAACATAATTTTTTCATGCTCTTAAAAGTTAGAATTTTAAGTAAAGAAATCATATAAAAAGCCTGCACGTTTGATTCATTTTAATAGAAACTGAATTTAATCAGTCAGTTTCCTTGTGAAAACAGGTATCCTAAAGAAAACAAAATAAGCATGAGTTCACAAATGTGAATCAATAAAATACGTAATCATTGTTATCTTGTGCGCGGAGAGACAGATTTCATGTTTAAGATGATAAAAACACCAATTGTTCCAGCTGAGCTTGCTGAATCACATGGATAAGAGTATTTTCCACACCAGTCGGCTGTCCTCTAAACCTAACTTCACAATCTGTAAACCTGTACAAGTCAGAGGACTAAGGGAAACCAACAGAAAAGATATGATAAAATAGCAGGATTGTTTCCACTGGATTATGTTTGGTTTTAAGTAATGAAATCATTTTGAAAGAGATGTGATTGAGTTGTGCTCAAATAAAGTTACCAGACACTCTTCATTGCTGCAAAAGTTAAAGTTGTTTTGCTACCAAAGTATTAATTTTAAATTAAGTAAATTCAACCCATTCTTTGTTTTTTTATTGTATAAATTTAGCATTTCCCTCTGTAGAGTAAAACTACGGAACAGTAACAATGTAGGATCTCTCTCTTTTTCTCTCATAATTAAGAAAAGTGGGATGATGTTTGGGCCTTAGACCTTTTCTGTCTGACTTTGATAGTAGCAGAACTATAATGAATTGTTGAAGAATTAAATGGACTGAATTAGTTTGTGCTTCCTCTCATTTATTTTAAAGTATGTAAATAAGAACATTGTGTCATTTTATTTTATTTTTTTCTGGTTGTTTTTCCTGTCATCCCTCCGAGTTTTAAGATTATGCAGTATCACATATTTATAATGAATAATTCAACTGAATTAGTGAATCATCATGGCCATTCCAAAATGCTGGTGCTTCTTGCTTGTATTCTAATGTACAGTTCTTTGTGATGCCATCCTTTAGCATGAAAACTTCTGTTTAAATAAAGAATAATAGGTCGAAACAGGGACAGGGAAAGTAATTATGCTGCACTGATAATGAGCAGGAATAGGCCAGCTTGGTGAGTAAGGGTCTAGGCTCCCTAAAGCCAATTTGTTTGAAAAGAATCATCTCTTTTCGAACTAATTCTACATATATGCCCCTGAAATGACTGCAGCATAGAATTACACTCTCTATTTCAACTTAGAATATTGCAGCAAAAGGATTATCAGTAGAACTATTTTGTGTTACTTTTTTAGTTTGAAGTTATGCTGCTTGACAAAAAAATGCCCCTTAATTACTTTTCTGAGTTAAAGGTTTAACCATTCCTTCTCATAACTAATATAAACCCATTTACTTTCTATTTGTTTATCTCCTGTTAGCCTCTGATATGGGAGCTGGCTTAGAGCTCATCTGCCTGGTTACATGTTTCCTGTACAGGGTTGCCTCTAGAGCTGGTTAACCCTTAACTTTTGTATCTCTGCGTCTTTTTCTGCTGATGGACGCTCACACTGAACCTGACTCTGCTGGAGGTTTCTTCCTGTTAAAAGGGAGTTTTCCTCTCCACTGTCGCTACATGCACGCCCAGTGTGAGGGATAACTGAAGAGTCAATGACTAAATGCAAGTGATAATTGTCGCTGCAAGTTCATCCAGGAGAAGCATGTCTTGCAAGTCACTGACTCGATGCAATCAACTGGTTTCCCCTGATAAAAAACGGAACGGATCGACTGTATGATATTGTTGAATTCTAGGTTAAGTGTATTGAGATGGCGTGTTGTGAATTGGTGCTATAATGTAGAAATAAATCAATTGAATTGATTTAAATAACCATCAAATAAATCAGTAACTGAATAATCGATTGAAAGCAATAAAATTTGCTTGTTGTGAACCTTCTGATTGTACAGGCGACTCAAAGCAAATCCTTCAGAATTCACCCAAAACTTTCAAAGAAAAATCTGAAAGTTTAAAAGTCTATTAATACCTAAAAATAAATCTTTCAAGAACAACCTTATAGGTGAGATTGAATGACAACAATCTTTAGTGCAAACAAAAATGATGTCATAATGTTTGATGCAGAGTTACACTTTGAATGTTCATCTTCATGTCAATTAGTGATTATTTATTTTCCAGCTGCTGAAACAAGATAAATATCTGTTAAACATTTATTTCAAATGTTTAAAAAAAAGCAAATAAATTCTACATTATAAATTGATTTTAAAATGCAGCAACTTTCCCAAGTTCTAAACTACATCTAGACCTCCATAGTAATTTATTTTTATTTTCTTCCACAGCTACTGAAAAGGCAAGTGTGTTTACACATTAATTCAGTGCAACTGATGAATCTTTTGCACAGCAGCATAGACACATGCAAAACTCACTTTATGTCTTCCCACACTTCTGGGCCGTAATTCCTTAAAACCAGGAGCTCCAGGGCGTGATTCACAAACCCGTACTGGAGACGAAGGGGAAAGAAGGTCAAAATTAATTAATGAAATCAGTCTCGAACACCCAAGCTAATGTACAGCTTGAATGTGGCGCATCTCTGCTGTTTATATAAATGCATATATCGTGTACACCTGTTTACAGCGGTGCTGTGGTGTTTATCATCCAATAAAATCAGTGCAGGCTGTGTAACCGCTATACTCGCAACAGGAAATGTCAAATGCTGCACTACGACGACAAAAAAAATTAATTCTTTAGCATTTAGAGAGTAGAGAAAAGACCGAATGTACGTACCATCGTAAGTGTCGCTTTTCTCCTCTTTATTTATCAATTACAACCGTAGAATGAAGCCAAACCGTCATGGTTCGGTCCAGATGCTGAGAGCCTCTGCGTCCATCTCAACTGTTTTTTTTTTTCAGCGTCTTTACGCTCAGCGGATCTGTCCAATAGCATATCGGGAAGGAGGTGACGTAAGCTGTGTTCGACCAATCAAACAGAAGATAAAGGTAGCGTCGTGTTAAGTGATACTAGTCAACCTGATTCCCCCAGATGTTTTTTTCTTCTTTTTCTTCCTGCTAAACCTTGAGATGCGTAAATTGAATCTGTATAAAATAAACATTTTAGTTGGAGATAATGTCCGTAATACAAAATGTAAGATATTAAATAAATACGATATATAGCAGCTTGAAATGTCAAATTAATTATTTTCGATACATTTAATTACATTAGAGTAACAATATGTTTTAAACGATGAATGTGAATTAGATAAAAGTTTGTTGTACAGGACAGGCAAAAATAAAAACAGCTGTACTGTGGTATATATAGTGTACTATGCTATATTCAGGCCTATAATCATAATCCAGCACAAAAAATAGCTCTAAAAGGTCACGAAGAATCTGAGTTCTGTTTCATCTCAATATAAATAATTTTTTTCTGTGACTTTTACAGGTTTCTTATGGATTGAACATTATTGAGACTGAGTAACACATGCAGGTTCAGGGATGAAGTTGAAGGGAAGCTAGGGGAAGCTTATCTCAAGATGTCTTAAAATGTTTAAACCAATTTCTGACAATGGAAAGACCATGACACAACTTTTTTTTCTCCCTCAACCTGTTTTAGGAAAGATGAAAGTTTAATGAAAGCTGGGGGAAAGTAAATGCAGAGGCAACACTGGAAGAAAACATGTCTTCACCAAAACGCTATATAAGATGCGGTTGTTTTTAATGCTTCAGTTACAATGAAATTGTTGGTGCAAATCAAAGTTAAAACAACTCAGTGAAAGTCCAGATTCCAGCCAAGAACCTCATCCAGAACCTGAAATCTGATTTTCAAAGTTGAGTCATTCTGACTTAGCAGGAAGTGATGGTTAAAAATAACAATCAAAACAAATGGGGGGAAAGTTTAGTTTCTAGAAGCACAAGGCTAGAAGAGACACAGCCCACAAGACTATAAACACAAAAAACTGACTCAGAGTTGTAATATACAGCTATATAACATATTTTCTGATTTTTACTTTTCAAAATAAAAAAAAACATGTACCAACATCATTCTATTTTAGCATCAGCACTACTTAATACTGATTACCTAAAAACCCAATATGAAAAAAAATATTTTATACGAATCTGTTTTACAAGGCGTTGTGACGAATTTCTATAGTTTCTGGCAGGTAACAACAAACTCGACCACTTTAGTCTTTTCATGACAATATTTATTGCACCTCGATAGATATCAATAACAAGTAAAGCACATTGTTGTGAATGGTAGAAAGATATTAGTTGAACTTGTTCTGTATTTTATCTTTATAATATAGTAAAGGTGTGTTTTAAAACTCATAACAAATAAGGTACAGATGTGCACAGTAAGACTAGTACAAATACAAATCATACTTCATTAGGAAACTAGTATAAAGACAATGCTCTGTGTCAACAAACTACACACATTTAGATAAATACTTCTATTACTATGTTTATGGGAGAAATGTCATTCATCCGGTATACTATTGTACTCTATTTCAGAATGAATATAATGTCTGTTGATTATATGCATGATTCATCTAGTTGGCACATGTCTGTGAACTTCCCATAAGGCACCTTAATCTGCTCGGCATTGACAGAATTTCATAAAAATTAGAACAAAAAATATATAATTTTTGGTAAATGTCTTTAAATGAAAAATCATCTGATATATTTCTTAGAACACAAATCCTCTAAAATGTATGTTGAATCACTGCCATTAAGAGAAGTGCGATTTGCAGGTAAAATAATTATATGATGACTTTGTCGGTATATAAAGTTAAAATGATGCGTTGGATTTTTTCATGGAAACAAATAGTTTTATTTAAAACCCACTGGGAGTGTCATTAACCTTGGTACTGCTAACAATAATTTGCAATTAAATACATTAATTTCTTTTAAATGTTAAAGAAACATGTACATACATTTTACAGTACTATGTGTCCTTTCCTATTACGATTAAAAACAAATCATTTGTGCAGTTGTAGCTATGCTTAATAGATAGAAAAGCCATTTAGGGGTATATAGTTAATCAAATAGAATAAGAATTTCTTTTCTATTAAATGTTTCCAAGATGGAAATTGAAAATTCTGACTTTTGTGTACAAATCAAACGCACCATTATTTTATATTCCGACTGTATAGATATTTTTAAAAGCTTTATACAAAAGCAAATTAAACATTTGAACTGTTAAGCACAAGTCTGTAGCTACATCAAAAATGTATTTTTGTATCAAATTTCACTATATGATAAAAACACATGACAATAACAATCATACTATGCAAGATGCTTAAAAAGAAATCCTGTGCTTTTCTTTATTGAACACATTTTATTTTTAAGCTTTACCTTGCTGCTTAAAAAGAAAAAAAAAACAGTCCCTAAGTCTTGCCCTGACTATCAACATCTCTGATATAAGCACAATATGACAACACTTGCTTGAAAGATCTCAAAAATGCAGAGATGACTCATTGTGGAAGAAAGATGAACTGGGCTTATCTCTTCTACAAATGGGTACAGAGACGTCATGTTTGACAATAAACTGTCATTTTCACGGTTTAACAGCTGCTGTGATAGTTTTACTTGAAAACAACAAAGATTCAAATCAAATTAAACAATACAGCTGTGTTCTTCATTGAAGCCTTTCCTTATCTACCATATAGGCCTCATAAAGTTGTAGGTCGGGAAGTTTTGGTGGCCGCCTCCAGAAAGTAACAAACACCAGGGACTTCTTCTGGGAAGTTGGCCGGAAGCTCCTGTCTGCTCCTGGGAACAAAGACAAACTCTGGACGACCTCTCAGCAATCTGGGATGAAGAACACACAAATAAAGCATCAGGCTAAACACAATGTGGCAAATTATTTGACACAAGAGAAAACGCAGCTCCTTTTTAAAAGTTACGCATCCTGCCGAAAGCAATTTATTTCTTTTTTCCTCTGTTCTTTTCCATGTGTCATGTGAAAATAAGATGGTAAATGGCTTCGGTCTACATCCATTCATTCACCCCTTCACGCACACACTGATGATGGCAAGCCACATTGTAGCCACAGCTGCCCTGGGGCTCAGTGGCAGAAGCAAGGCTGCCATACACTGGTGCCACCAGTCCCTCTGACCACCATCAGTAGCCAATGGGGGTGAAGTGTCTTGCTCAAGGACACAACAACATTGAAAGCCAGAGCCAGGGCTTGAACCTACGACCCTCCGGTTACAGGGCAAACTCCTGCCTCTGACGCCATAAAATATACTACATACAAAAATTTAAATATATAGTAAAAGAAATGTCTTTGAGACTTTATATACAACAATGCCTTTAGGGACAGGTGCAAAGATTCAGTCTGAGGATGGGTACTTGAAACATGTGTTCACCTGTGGGTTGTAGGGCTGATGTTGATTTTCCTCGGCTGACTTCCCGATTCAAACTTATTTGCCAATGTAACATTGTTCCCAAAAAGGCAGTAACGTGGCATCTTCACTCCAACTACACCTGCCAACACTGAGCCACTGTGGAGCCCAATTCGCATCTGGAGGACAAAATAAAAAAAAGACTTTCCTTATTACATCTATTGGTAATTGTAGCTTTGCAAAATAATCTATTCTGATTAAACATTCTTTCTTATTTTGACAGATACAACCAAAAAAATATCTAAATATGCTCGTTGCACTGCAATCACAGCACAATACTAGCTTTGCTTAACAAGCAATAGACATTTTCTTCTAGAATTTCTGTCCAAAATAGCTCACGCTCAGTCAGATTGGTTAATTTGGTCATCAATTGTTTTCTTCTTGCCATTCTTCCATATAGGGTAAAATTGTAGAGTGCATAACTAATAACTTTTATTTTCATAAATTCTCCAAGCTAAAGTTGGGAATTTTTGCCTTTACCACTGGCCTTTAAGATGTTTCTCGGAATAGTGCTCTCCTTGCCTTCCCTGTGGAGGCTGGTGGCTTGGAAGCTTTTTAGTTTTTCCAAAGTCTTGTTGTGGTAGCTTGTAAATCACATGTCATTTAACTGAAGTTATACGCTACTTTGTGTTATTCTAATGCAAAATATCCCAATAGGATAGCAATAACATTGTGGCCAGAAACATGGCCCAATGCGCAATGAATGTAGTGGTACAGTATGAATACCATTGCAATGCAATGCATTACATATGAATAAGCTTCAAGGTTGGTTCAATCCACATTTCTTTCAGATAGTAAAGTCATACTCCAGCAGGGTGATTTGGAAACACAGCAGTCAACATTGCTAGATCTTAAAAAATGGAGGGTTAATTTAATTGTTTTAAGTAAAAGAAACAATTGGTTAGCTTTCAAGGACATGCAGAAAATTTTAAACAGCATACAGAAAATGTTAATGTCTTAATAACTGTCACCAACTCCAAGTAATGAACAACATGAGCATGATAATCTGGTTAACCTCAACATCAAGCTAAGATCAGGGCTCTGGAGAGCCATAAATTGAAGATCAATGAGTATGTCTAAGGCATTGGAATGGAGCTGTAATAAAAAAAAAAAACTCTAGAATACTATTTATAAAGCATAAATCTTACTTTTGTATCATCATTTCCATGTTTAGTATTTTAACGTTATCACTCATGGCCCTAGCGGTCTAAGGATGTGGTATTTTAAGTGGAACTCAGAGAGAGTGATAGTGACCATTAAAGAAATGTCACTGATGGCATGTAGGATAAATATGTAGCCTGAGAAGCAGGGAAGTGTGAGAACCCAGACTTTATTTATTCAGATATTCAAAAGGTCTTGCCTCTCCCAGACCAAGTGAAATGTATCCATGAAACATTCGGATATATTTTATTTTCTAGGACACAGTGAGGTGATATTAATTGTTCTTTTTTATCTGATCTTGGAATCGTTTGCTGAACTAAAGATTCACTTTCATTAGTCTGGACAGACATTACATCTTTAATATGTCAAAATATAATATAATTGTGGAATGCATTGATCATGCATTTTGCAACAATCCTATTTTTTTTAAACCACTTTATCCTGTAAGTGAGAAAACGAGCGAAAACAAGGCAGAGAAACACCTACAGTTTGTTAACCTATAAAACAACCAAATCAGAGGATTTGGTTCTGTTAACTGGACAAAAAAATGAAGATTTATAACTAACCTCATATGTATTATTTCAGACAGGTTTTCTATTAGAGATGGGTATCACTCAGGATTTATGGATACTACAGTACTGCTTATCAATTTGGTATTTTATCAATACCCTTATTGATACTTAAAATAAATAAGAAGCACTGTTTATTTTTCAAAACAGTTGAAAAAAAAACACCTTAAATAAATAAAAGAACGCTTGAAAAGCTTGTATCATTTTCCTTGTCATTTTTTCTCTACAAAAGGCATTATTTTGTGTTACATCCAGATACAATCTTTAAAAGCTTGTAAAAGTGCAACATGACAATAAAAAAATCCTAAAAACAAATCTCAGACAGGATGAGATCTCTTTCTCATGAGGAAAAAAAAGAATTGAACTTCATGAAATCCTTAATGAAAATACAGTGATTGTTTTTCCTAACTTTGAAAGTCCGCCATTGACTGCAACAGAAGAGAAATAATTTCTAGACCAGACAAATCTTTGGCTGTTTAAAACTCTTCACAAGAACTCTCAGACTGAACTGGAATCTTCAAAATTAGAAATAATGAGGTGTATTAACATGAGTGGTGCTTGACCCCTACCTGTATCGGTTCCCCTGTTGGCGTCATGACATCGTCTGACAGCTCCATCATTTTCAGAGCCATGAGTGCAATCTGGACAGCATGAGTCTCACTCTCTTTATGCAAGCCACCAGCCACACAATAAGCATCACCGATGGTCTCCACCTGAACAGAGCCAAAATGCTGTTACAACCATTGCTTGACTTCTTAGCTAAGTCAGAATAAAACCTCTCAGCAGGTTTATGTGGGCTGTTCAAGCCAAAGTTATATATAAAACATGTAAAGCCCCTTAGTTAGTTACCATAAGCTCTTAAAGTCATTTCTAAAAAAAAAAAAAAAAAAAAAAAAAAAGGCAGACAATGAGGCTTAAACACGACGATTGATGTCAAGTGGCCATTCATCAGAATTGTAGCTTCTAGGCTGAGAAGTAAGAGAACAGTTTGGAATGGAGTCAGAAGCAAAGTATTTACAGGTAACAGCACTTAATCCTCCGACATGCTAGAAAGTCTAATGTTTTTCCATCTTTTCTCCTCATCATTTGTGTAAATCCGGTCTTTTAAGCTCTTAGCCACAAGGCTGAGATAAAGTAAAACTATTTTTAGTCTTATATATGCAGAGTAGAAACAGGGTCCTCAAGGAGCCTCTGACTTCTTGCCTTTTACAAGACGTTTGACAAACATGCTTCTCTTTCTGTTTTGCTTCTCTGACACTTTGATTACATTATCCAACATTGTTCCAGGTTAGCAGCCTTCAGCAGGCTTTATCCTTGCTGGTAAAACTACACTAACACTTTGCCTTTTTTATGCAAAATGGTGCAATTTTGTAACCGGAAACAAGTATGTGAAGTCATTTCTTAGCATTTGAAAACCCATGTATAATATAGAGCTATGTAAGAAAGAAAAGCATTTTCCCCCTCAAGATCTCTTCTGCTTGTGTTCTCTTTGATAACGACTCCAGACTTGCTCTATTACATCTGGAGAAAGAACACAACATTTCCAATAGAGGTGTAATGGTTTGATGATGTGGACTTTGCTGCTAAAAGCAAGTCTTATGGCAATATGTTATAATTGAAGACACCATGAAATCTTCTCTCTGGCTTACTGTAAAATCCAGAGGAAGAAATTTAGAACCTTAAGGTCATCCTCAATTGGATTATGTAGCAGAGCACTGATCCAAGGCCCACCAGCATGTCCACCACTAAAGTGATGAACAAAAAAAAAGAAGGCGGCTTTGCAATGACCTTTAAGAGGATTGAAAACATTCCCTTACCACAATTCTGCAAAGAGTTTTTCAGAAGAGATATATGTATGTCACAGCAGTGTTTGCCACCAAGGATAAGGCTAAGGAGCTATTAATTCTTCATATTGACTGTGTTGGTATTTTAAAACTATTTTCCTTCTCATAAATGTTTTTTGTATTTGTAAAAGGTTGTTTAGTAATAGAATTTACATAAATATCTGAACTGAATCAGTTCGATGTTGCAAAAAGCACAAAAGCAGAGCAAATCTGACAGCAGACCTAAACAGACTGACGCTGTTACTATAACTACTTAATATTGTGAACATATTTATACATACCTACAGTATAATCATAGTATCTTTCGGGCGGAAAAGTGAATTGATTTTTACCTTTAACTGTATTTCTTAAATTTGTTTTTAAAGATGTTAGAATATGGCAAGTTATAATTCTGTGTTTAATTAAAAAATCTAAAACCTTACAGGATTACCTCATTGCCAATATGGGCCCCTGTAGGGTTAGTATTGAGTTAATAGTTTATAACGTGTGTCATCTGAGAGCCATCTAAAGAGAACAAAGGACAACCTCTACATGAGCGTACCTTATACACATCCAACTCTCCACAATGGTGGTCAAACCTGGTGTACAGCTCACTGAGCATGGTGATCACTTGCATCGGTGTACAGACTGAACAAATAGCCGTGAATCCAACGATGTCAGAGAACAGCATTGTAACTTGCTCAAACTTCTTAGCCTGGACTGTTTCACCCTGCCACAGCTGTTGTGCCACTTTTCCAGGGAAGATGCAATAGAGGAGGTCCACAGTCTTCTTTTTCTCCTCCTCCAAGGCTTGGTGAGCGTGCTCCAGGGCTGCCTTGGCCTTTCCCAGCCTCTTCTTCAAACCATCCTGGGCCTTTGCCTGCTCACCAACCAGGACCACATCCCGCAGGGCGTTATGGATGGGGATGTCTGACAGGTAGAGGCCCCGACCCGTTAGCTCCTCAAGCTTGTCTACGCAAGGCGAGCCCAAGAACAAGATGGCATTTGACTCAGAGACGTAAATCATCTGGCCTTTAAGGTCCATGGGCTAAAAGAAAGAAGTAAAGAAGATGAAGAATCACTATGAAGGAAATTGGTTTAAAGTTATGCTAGAGATTTATTTTAGAATCAACGTGGCTACATCCTCAGCAAAATGATCTGAGCTCATGATATACAGTTAGCCTCAAAATAAGTCAATTTAAAAAAATTTCTTATCTTCCACTATATGAGAAAATAAAAGCAAATTCCTTCCTTTTACGTCCATGTATTTTAAAATACCCAGCATATGTAAACACAGTGTATTTTATGACCTTGTATAGATGTAAACATGAGAGAAAACGTACCCAAACTTGTCAAACTTTGTATTTATAAAACCCCAGCTGTATGAGGGTCTCTGTCAGGCACAATTTTAGAGTGCTAAATCCTCTATTTATGTTCCAGTTCAAATAATCTAATAGGAGGCCATTTTTTACCATGTGCATTGCAGCATAGCCAAGTGAGATGCCATTAATTCATTAACAAACCACTGCAGTACAGACTGATTCCTTTTGGGCTCAGTAGTTGGGAATAAAAGGATGTTATATTTGGACTAGACATCAAGAATGGACATCAGTACTGTATGTGCACTGGCTGAATTATACACCTGCTTATCATCTTTAACTATTATTCAGTTTGCATATATTGATGTTTCTCTCTACAGTTCAGTGAGACTCCTTTTGTGACTTTTCAGTTTTCCTTGATTTTTTTCCTACTGAGAATTAAAATTTTTATTTCGATCCTAAGTTGGATTTTTTTTAAGTTTCTGTGTAATTTTCCAACCACTAAATAAAGTATTTAAATCGAAGCTTGAAATATTTGATCTTACGAAATCATTTTCGTCCTATTCAAAAGAAAAAGCGACAAACTGAAAAAATGTGTCCTCCTAAAATGATCTTGTGTTATCAATTTAAAATGTGTTGCAAAGTTGCAAAACAATGCCTCCATCCAACTGTTTGTTATCTTTGATCGTCTCTTGCGTGGGCGGCGAAGCAGAGCAGCAGGAGTGTTTTAAAAATTGCAGCATAATTCAGGTTAATTGTGTCACTTCCACTGACATCGCTGTTGTGTTTTTACACAGGGGATCTGTCGGTAACGCATCATTGACTCGAGATGAAAGACGCTGCCTTGTCTGCTCACTCACAGATTTCCACCTGTTTCACACCACCATCACGTTTACTCATTTATGTTTTTTTCTCTTTTTCCTGTCAGGGTGACCGATTGCTGAGAACTCTAGCTGATAAAGCACCAGCATGGTTCTGCATTTGATGGGTAAAATGCTTTGACATTTGCGCCTGATCTCCACTGGGGGTATAATGTTGATCTTCACCTCGGGACAAGTGTGCTCAAGTACAACACTAATAGGCCTGACTGCTTGTAAACAGCTCAATTTTTAACCCTCTATCTCACTCCATTTAACATCAACATAATCATGAGAAGATTTTCAGCCTCATTAATCGGTAACATCCCTTTTGTAAGTAGAGGTACACCAATCAGAACACTGTGGCCAGTTCTAGTCCATTTATGACCTGCTGATGCTGGATTGCAGTTTTTCCTTAAGAACTGCACTTTAATGGAATATAGAGAATGCATTTGAAATATGTTTTCTAGCCTTTTTTCACCAACAGTGGTATTAATTATTTATGAGGAATGCCTTGCAACTATTTTTGATGTCTCATCTTTTAAATCTCATATAAGTAATTAGTAACACAGCATTATCTGTGTGTAGTTTTCCTGTTATCTGCTTAAAGTATAGTCCTCTTATGACTTCCATGAGCCTAAACATGGTCCAAAACATACAGCATATATTCCCACCTATCTATGTTTTCTGTCAATTAAATTTAAACATCTCACTATAACTGCAAATAGCTAACTGTAAGGGTTCTCAGTAACCTTTTCACATTAGGTTGTCATCAAGCACTCAGTTTGGTTCCCATATCGATGCAGGAAAGAATATATGTTTTTAATTTCACAGTGCAGATTAACTGGTTGGGTAAGAGGAAGCTGATTCTGTTTACAAGTGGATTTATGGAGGAATTTCTACCATTCTTTGTCTCTACCTACCTTGCCTGTGTTTTCTGCATTTGAGACCCCTTGTTTGATCCGAATGATAAACTGTGCATTCAGCATGGTCAGAATACCCTGAAAGCTGCATTTGATCTGTGGAGAGATAATGGAGAAGTGTTCTTGGAAATTGGAAGGCCGTCTCAGTCCATCCTTCCTACACAGTCTCTTCCGAAGTCCGTGTCCTATTTGGACCAGAACCAAGTCCTGGTCAAGAATCAAGTGGAAAGGGAATATAGTGGAGAACAAGGACGTAGGGAGGGTCCCAGCTGAGGTGGCACGAAGTGGACTGGGGCTGTGGGTTTTAGCATCCTTCACTACAACTGTGTACAGGAGACTAGGCTGAGGGCTGGACTGCAAGATGCTGTCTTTAGCATTGGGGGGATCTTTCAACACATCCACACTAGTGTTATACAGCAGGCGTGCAGCGGCTTTAATGACACCTGGGAAAAAAAGCTCAGTGGTGGGGCGGGGGTTAAAGAAATAGACAGTAAGCAGGTCAGGATCCTTGTCTAAGCACAGAACCGATGGTTCGTTTACACAATCCTCTTTGTCTGGGTTGGGCGGCACACTGCTCTGTTTCAACAAGACATTGAAGCTGTTGAGGAAGTCGTGCAGAGCACCCCCCACCACTGTCAGAATGTGCTTGTCCTCCTCATAGCACATATTGAAGATCTCCTCGCCGAGAGCAATCTCCAAAGCTTCCATCGGGATCGCTGTCAAACGCATGAGGAGAAACAGATGAAGGCATGACGCAACCCACTCTGTGTTCAAATAAGCAACTGCCATATTGTGTGTGCAATCCTTTGCCAGGATTGTGATTACCTGTTTTGGTTGAATAACTGTTCATCATCTCAAGTAAATGCTCCAGGTCATCCCTGGAATTTTGGTAGCGAGCACAGCAAGCTGCTGGACTGGAAAACCCACAGATAGCATAATCAGTCAGTCGAAGCTGTGCCCAAGGAAACAGGTTTATACTGTTCAGTAGGCATGGACTGGCTTTTGGTTTTCAAAGGTTTTAAAAGGTCTCCTATAATATGGCCTCAGGTTCAACATGTTCTACATATTTAATGCAGATGATTGATCATCCCTAACTTACCCATGTATTAATCTAACTTTCATTAATCAGAATTGGTGTTCTTGTCTTTGAAACTAGGAACTGAGAAAATCTATCAAATAAAAAGGAACATAATCAGATAACATAAGCTTGTTATAAGTTTTGCTCAGAGTGGAGACATGGTAAAATACAGTTAACAATCAGTAACTGTTGCTATATAAATTGCTGATCAGGGCTTATAAAATGTCTAAAAGTTGAAAAGATGATCTCCTGGCATTCTGTCTCCTGAATATTTACCCAAAAAATCTTGCGCCCTCAGTGATAATTAATTTTGGGCTTTTGCAGACAAATAGTGTCATTGTTCTAACCTGGAGAAAAATCGACTCGCCATCAGCACGTGTGTGGGTAAAAGAAATTTCATCCTTTGATAGAAAAAACTAACCTGTATTGTAAAAGATAAAACAGGAAAGTTTGAAAATGATCCGAAAGCTCCAATGGAATTTCTTAGGCATAATGATACCTAATTTGGTGAAATCGCTGTATTTTTGTATTTGTTTATTCATTTGTTTTTAGTTTAATCGTTGTCGTTGTTTAAGGCTCAAAAAGGCTATAAAAAAGTACTTAAAGAAAAAAATAAATAGCATGCATTTTTCTTAAAAAATAGACTTAGACTTAGACTAGACTTAGACTTCTTTATTTGTCATTTTGTATGCACAGGGTGCATACAGAACGAAATTGCGTTACATACAGCTTATGAACGTTGCATTGATATTTATAAAATATATATATATATATATATACAATCTCATACCAGTCCATGCCTGCTACTCTGACAACAAACTGACAATAAATGCCTTTTGGGAACTGTCTGAAACATATTCCCCTAAAATAAACCTTCATTTTTAAGCCAGCACCAACAAATAATCCTTATACTGTGGAATCTAATCAGCTTTGGTAACACAGTTGAAAAGATCTACTTAAACATATCACAAGGTAAGTCAGAGCAAACAGAATGTGAAGGAATAATCATTTTAGCTCGATTCTGATACTTAGAAGAAAACAGCATATATGTGTGTGTCTGTATATGGATGTGTGTGTGAGGGGGTTGTCTTCCATTTTTTTCTAGGTGAGAAAATGTAATTTTTTTTTTTTTTACTCGCAGTATCCATAGCAGCCCCAGTCTGTATCCCCCTTATTGTTATTATCCTCATTAGTGCCAGTCTGGTAGTGAGAGTGATAGGAGGACTGTGAGGTATTGGCAAACAGGGGGAGAACAAATGGTCTGCGGGATCATGCTGGGTGGAGGAAAATGTAGGTCTAGAAAATATTTTTTTTTTTTCCAGACAGCCAGAATATAGTGGTTATAGCCTATTTTATTTTATGGAAACCAGGGGAAAAAAACGAAAAAACAAAATACCTCCCAATATCCCTGCTGTGCTCTGCTAGTGTCATCATTCTTTGGAGAGCAGTGTGCAGCCTTTGAAACTGTATCAGAAAGTATCCAGCAAGTTAAAAGGTCATCATATGATCAGCATTATGGTGATAAGATGCAAAAAACATCATGAAACCATTAAGTTACCTCAGGACATGCCAATTTTCGGATGCTGTCTCCAAGAGTGTGCAGGTTAACTTTGGTTCTGCTTGTCTTCTGTCGAGGTACATCCTCATTTATTTTTCCATGCACGTCTTTAGAAATAGGCGATAAATCCGCAGAATCAACAGAGCTCTCCTCAAAGTCCCCCAGCGTGTCGTTTTTGGCGCCGCCGGAGAACGGGCACTCTCCTGATATCTTCAGCTCTTTCAGTTTGGCGCAAAACATCTTCCCCCCTTTGCTGAGCGAGCGATCTGCACTGGTTTATGATCACATTTCAGAGGGGGGACGGATGGGAGCGAGCTGCTGCGCTCTCTGGGAGCATCCCCATCCTCTGCTCACCCACTCCGCCAAGGCTCAAATTCAAGTCATCAGCACCAAAAGCTCAGCCTGAGAGCCCCATGCAATATTCATTGGGAAGCTGCATGGGCAGCTGATAGCAGGGAACCAGCGCTGCCAAAAGCCAATGAGCAACTAGGTGGAAAAGGACGGCGGTCCAATGCATGCGCAAAAGGGGCTGGGGTTGACTATGTGAGCAGCCTATCAACCCAGAGAAATTATTTCCAACCGACTGATCGGAGGGAAATAATTGATACCTTGTAATATCGACCGGTTGATGTTTACAAGCTATCACACTGCAGAAAATTGAAATCTAAATAAGTCATTTTTGCTCAAATTAAGCGCATTTTTTCTTAAATTGAGGAGGTAAGTGAGACACTTTACAAATGGAACAAGACAATTTACATTTAAAATAAGAAAACAAACTATTGCTTTCTTATTTCAAGTGTATATTATCTAATTTTCTTGTTTTCATTCCATTTCATTGGCAAGTCATCTTATTTACCGGCTCAAATTAGGGGAAAAATACACTTAATATATGCCATTTTTTTCTTTTTTTTACTTATTTCTATATATTTTTTGCAGTGCATTTAATACAGATTTAGCAGTATGCTGACCTAATTGGAATGAAGACTTCATAGGTTTGCAAATTGTGGACCAACTCAATATTAATACCTATTGAACTTTTTTTTTTTACTCCCATTTGTCACATTAAATACATCTATGTATTTTATGTGAAATATAAGGATAAAAGCTTTAAAAATATTTTACAAACCAAGTCATTTTTATCATTATTATTAGGCCCCCTTCAACCTGATACCCTCTGGTGCCTCAAATGCCATTTAAAGTCGCTTAATCAGCTAAAACTAGCCTTTGAATTAATTAAATATTAGTGTGACTGTTCGTGTGAAGTTGTTTGGGGCGGTTTTCTTCTGTAAAATTAGACAAGTTTTGACCTGAGTAGAAACATTTGAATAATATAAAATTATGCAGGACATGGCCTTCAGCTGGACGTCTCCCTTGTGAAACATGGTGGTGAAAGCATTATGCTATGGGTAATCTTTACCGGGGAAATAGAAGCTAGAAGAATTTGCAATAAAATAAATAGCAGTATGCTGATCTAATTGGAATGAAGACTTCATAGGTTTGCAAATTGTGGACCAACTCAATATTAATACCTTTTCTTTTTACTCCCATTTGTCGCATTAAAGACATCTATGTATTTTATGTGAAATATAAGGATAAAAGCTTTAAAAATGTTTTATAAACCAACGTAATTTTTAAAGTTGCTTAATCAGCTAAAGCAAAAAGATTACCCTTTGGATTAATTTAATATTAGTGTGACTGTTCGTGTGAAGTTGTTGGGGGCGGTTCTCTTCTGTAAAATTAAACAGCTTTTTGACTTGAATAGAAAAACTGGAATGGTATAAAATGATGCAGGACATGGCCTTCAGCTGGACGTCTCCATTGTGAAACATGGTGGTGAAAGCATCATGCTATGGGTATTCTTGTCTTTACCGGGGAAATGGAAGCTAGGAGACCTGGTAATAAAATAAAATCAGTCAAATGTAGGGCAGTCCAGGAAGAAAACCTCTTAGAGGCTGACCAAAGGCTTGCAATGGGATGATTTCTATCAAACCATGTTTGTAAGAATAGCCCAGTTCAAGTGCAGACATAATTACAATTCACAAATCCATGACAGAAACTGGGAACTGACCTTGATCAGAGCTCATACCAGCTTTATATTTATTAAAAGACCTGCAGATGTGTTTGCTGTAACAGGTGGTTCTACATAATATATGCTCCACACTTTTCAGGTATTTATTCTTTATAGAACAGAGTAAGGTGAATGGAAAATTACACTGATGTTTGCTGGCGAGAACATTGATGGTGAGAAATGATCGATTGATACGACAAAGAAAGTGAGCGTCAGTTGTTCCAGGACATCAATGAGGAAAAGAGGTAAGATGTTATTGCTAGAAGTAATTTTTTAGATCGTGACATGTTTTGAAAGAAGATGGAGGTTTTCTGTTGTCAAAGATGGTGGCGATCCAGAGGAAGAAAGGAATATCCTGCGGCTCGAGGTTGAGGGTTTGAGATGTGTTGAGCAGATTTCTAATGATGTTTGTTTTTTTTCTCCAGGGGGAATAAGATGATGGTTGAGCAGTGGATCGTTGCAGGTTGAACAGGCAGCTGTGTAAAGAATGGTATATGGAGAGGTCCAGGTAGCTGACCCAAGGAGAAGCAACCACTTATACTCTCAACTAATAGACACCTCAGAGGAGATTTTCATCTTATATATGTCTGAATTCATTCCTCTTTATATATTGTTATCATTATCCAAAAGATCTCTACATTTAAATGTTAAACATTTTTGTGAGCTATTATCTCAGATCAGGTTCAACTATTTTATGAAACTCTGGTCTTTTTAAGAAATATGTTAATTTATTTGCAGGGAATAACTTCTAATTAGAAGCAAATACCTGGTCTGAACAAATGAAGTAGAGATAACACTTTTTATTTGCTAAACGTTCCTTTTTCTCAAAAATGATCTTGATTGAAGAATATTTGCTGTTCTTCTGAATGTTAAATAAATAAAGGTTACTATTAAAAATAATTGCATTTTTTTCACATTATTCAAGACAGACCAACACAATTTACTGAACACATGGGGGTGGCAGCTGTGGAGACAATCAAAGTTAACAGAAATGATTCTGAATTAAGTTAAAGAATCATAAATTTTAAATAGAGTTTAAACATCACTACATTCAAAATACTTATCAATTTTTTTTAAATAAACATCATACTTACCTTTGCCCTTCAGGAAAAAGGCTGGTCTTTAATAGTAAATTTGTATTCATACCATGCAACACATATCTTTGAACAGCTTTATCCTAAATAGAAACTGTTCTCAGCATTACTGAACATAGAAATGCTGCTCTTAGACCACATTACAACATACTTTCAACATTTCCCACATATACGTACAAATACATGAATGAGCTTCCCTTGAATGGAAGAGCAACAATCATCCGCACATGTTATTACGCCAGCAGCTAGACCGGACTGTTTGAGTTTAATATTATCGTGAAGAACAAGAAATGTTTGTGCAGTTAAACATTTTACAGGAAATGTATTAATAATAATCACATAATAGACTTCAGTGACCTTGATGAGGCTGCAGAATCACACACTGTAACAAGAACACCTCTGAGAATCTGGGATTCAGCCACACATGCAGGACTTTTAAAAAGGTTTATTGAAAACTGTTTGGTGACAGATCAAACAGATAGGTTACAGTTTTGAGGAGGCAGATGAAGGCTGGCTGATTGCAGACCTGAGGAGGGAGAAGATGACTGAACAGATTGGAGGCAGGCTTTGGCCAGACTGGGTGATATTAGAACAAACTAGAGGCAAGCAGAAACAGCCCAGAATGTTACCACAACCAGAACATTATGAGAAGCTAGTGAAGGCTGGCTGAGCACAGGACTGCCAATAATATTTTACATTTCCTTAGCTAAAATTTAAAAAAATTGTCCATCCAT